AAACCCCACCCCCCCCACACACACACACACACACACACACACACACACAGGCACACAGAAATGGGCGAGACAAAAGCGGGAGGTGGTTCTTAAAGAGACAGAGGCCAATTTCAAGGCGTTTAGAAGAGGAAGTGATGAGAAGATAAGTTATTTTCTATTTAAACATAAAAACAGCATTTTGATAACAATTAAAGGTGACATAGATACTTTATTATGGTATAGTATTTAAATGTATGCCTGAGAAATACATAACATTGCCCCCTTAACTGAAGTGCCAAGTGTAAAATAAAGGGTTTTTAAAAATGCAGCCAGAAAAACGTCCTTTTTTTCAACTAACATTTTATTGTTATTTAGCTAGCTAATTTTTTACTAAATGTTCAATTTAAATGTTAAATAATACATGTAAATATAGTACTAAATGTAAAAATTTAATCTTAAATGTTGAAATTAAATGCTGACGTTTACGTGTAAGTATTTCAGGAATGGAATGCAGCCTTTGCAGTTGCTGCTCTGCTAATGATGTCATCATCCTGAGACAAAAGCAACCACTAACGTTGTTCACACTGCTTACGCTGTTAACACTGCTAACGCTGTTAACACTGCTAATGCTGTTCACACTGCTAACGCTGTTCACACTGCTAACGCTTCCCGACAAGACACCAAACTTACAGTTGCAGCCGGTGTCTGAGCTGCACTTCAAACTGTCGGACCAAATGTGCCATCCATATTGTTTTCAATGAGCTTATTTTTAGTTTAAATTTTAAATTCCATCTTCAGCAGCATAATTGAAAAAGTAAAAGCAACCGCAAACGTTAGTGTTAGCTACATTTTTAACATTTTATTTAACACTTGGTGCCTCATACTTTACCTCAAACATGAAATATGTCTTGCATGAATTACCCAGGATTCCAAGGTGCTGCTCCTCTGCGCTGCGCAGCATTTTTGTTGTGAAGGTGTTGTCGGTGTATTCGACGTATCGAGCCTTCTTATAGCGACTTCCAATGCGCTTTGTACCTCTGGTTATAAACGTTTCTGCCTCGCTGCACAGTCAAAGAGTCAGAACTCAGTATGAGCTGGTCTCACCAGAAACATGGGCATTGTTTCTGTCTGGACTTTTGTGTGTGAATCTAGTGGAACCAACCTGTCACTGGGCACTGTGGGAGCATAGTCCCACACCTCCTCCTCAGCAGCAATAAAGAACTGTCTGAGCTCACCATGAGGACGAGGCTTGTGAACATTGGGGAAACACTTCTTGATCTCAAACAAAGCCTGCATTCCAGCTGCAAAAGAAAAATACATAAAAAGTCCTGAAAACAGGCGAGTATGATCACAAGATGTCTTTCCTGGGACGAGAACTTTCTGTCACAAGTTATTAGCCTTATTTTGAGGCTGGAGCACATTTTCTCACCCATCAGATGATCGTTGACGGTGCACGTCAGCAGCCAGTGTCCAGGGTTGTCAGCCACCATTTCAGCTGTGGTGCTGGAGGCCGGGAACAGGCTGATTATGTCCGTGTGGTGGTTCAGATTGGTCAGGATCTGGCCATGGAAATGAACTGAATGCATGTCCACCTGTGGATAGATAACATTAGAAACTCATGTTTTGTGAAAGCCAACGTAAATCCCTCAGGTATTCAAACCAAACAGAATAAACTAACTTCCCTGAACAACAAAATTCATTGGTGAAAAAAGTGCAAGTGACTTAACTTTGAAATAACAACACTAAAAAGAAACATGGTAAGCTAAAACATTAGCATAAGACTAATGACCACACATCTATGGGCCGCCAAGTGTAAAAATTAAATGTTAAAAAATTTCACTAACATATTTTTCATTATTTAGCTCATTTGTTGAGTGTTAAAAAAAACTTCCACTATTTTTTTTATTTGGCTCACTATTCTTACATTTAGCTAATTTTTACTAAATGTTAAATTTAAATGTTAAAAAATATATTAAATCTAAATCTAAATATTTTGACGTAAAAGTTAAACCTTAAATGGTAAAGCTAAATGATGAAGTTCACATTTAGATATTTTGGAATGGAACACAGCCTTTGCTGTTGGTGCTCGGCTCGTTATGATGTCATCATCCTGAGACAATAGCAACCACTAGCACTTCAATGCAGCTAAAGCAGAGGTGCCCAAAGTGGGGCCCGTGGGCCAAAGCTGTCCAGACAAGCCATTTGACTTGCCCCCCCAGCGGTTGGCCCAATGACTATAAAGTTTTCTCTCATCGTGTTTACTGTGTCTTTAAACTATATTAAAATTAAAACACATTTACAAAACAAACACAAGTAACTACAAAAGACATTTAGACTAGATTTGCACACTTTATAAGACCACAAATACTCATATTTTGTCAATTTATAAAATGTCCCATGAGCCTTTGTTACCCGAGCATATGTCAAACTATCTCCAAATGCACAGACTAAAAAGTCTGTCTCTTTATCTCAGGAAGATGACATAAATTACGCTAATGCTAGCGCCCCATACACGTCTTCTGACATTGTTTGAAACACAAAATTAATATTGTTATTACAATGTAAATATAGCATACTTAAAAATTGTATTGTATGGTTACAGCAATATTAATTGTTACCTCGTTGCCTAAGCCTATCATATGCCAGTGGATTTTGTTGCCTTGACACATGCTCAGTCCAGGTAGGTTACCATAAAGAAAACCATTGATTGCTGCAATGAAAACACAAGTTCAGTTAGTCTGTTTGCATATTTCTAAGTGTTTGTGTAGAGTAATGGTTTCCCCCTCACAATGCATCTTATTGCTCTCAATGAAATCTTCGTCTTCCTTCAGGTTTCTGGCGGGGGCGGGATTTGTGATGTGTGTCCGTATGTTCTCGTCCAGGTACCAGCTGTGGTTCTCATCTGACACCATGAACAGCAGAGCGTACGTGTAGTCTGCTGACCTGTCGCCGTGTATGTCCAGAGTTCCTGCAGAACAGAGAGGACAGTTGGTGAGACACTTTGATTAATAATAATGAGTAAAGGAATAAACTGTGTCAAAGGTTTTTAGCTTACGTTTTCTTTATGTTGTTGTTTTTTTAATGTTTTTATTCTGTTATACACACGGTACCATTTTACTGTGACTCTAACTGTTGCAGTTTTTTCTCAACATTCATTAAAAACGGCGTATGCTTCAGTAATTATATTTTATTATTTCAGAGGAGTAGAAAACACAATATTTCTCTCTTAAACAATGTGGGGTTAGAAAAAAGCTAAATATAAGGTGAAATAAGAGAAAAAGCCTAAAAGAACAGAGAAAGATGGCTGAGTCAATGGTACTTTTCATCGGTTATATGTGTAAAAGTACCTCTCTTACAAATGATAAGCGGTCCAAGCAGTCCTGAGCTGATATCTTCCGGGGTATGAACATGGGAGTGGTAGAACCTGGTCAGGCAGTTACTGTCCTGCGATGTGGGGCTGTGGGATGCTGGGAGGGTCCACTCATATATCACAGTTGTACCGGGAGCCACGGCGTCGTCGTGCCTTAGCGTGTGATCTGTGCCATCTGGGTACATAGCTCCTGCAGGGAAACACACACAGTCATGTATCTAATGAGCCTTCTCTGATGTATAAGTTTGCAGTGGTACAACACTAATCTAAAAATTAGTTCCACTAGCCCTAAAACACTAACTCAAATATTTAGGTCCCCTAATTCTAAAGCACTAACACACTGAAAGTTTTAGCAAAAGCTAATTCTAAAGCACTAAAATAACCCAGTCAACCCATGAACGTTCTTCAACAGACAACATGAGTCACACATTGCCATGCTGGTCTCTTAAGACTTATCATTGACATTCCACAGCCATTTGGGTTCATATATTGCCAAAATATTGTCCCCTGGTGGATAAGTGACACTAACACATACTCACCCCCAACTCAACTTGGTCAGGTTCCCTCTGCATCTTGTTTTGACGCATCGGGTAACCCCTTCGTGTCAGTTGTTGATGCATCAGGCATTTCCGGGTTCCCTCGGCATCTGATTTTGACACATCAGGGCGCAAAATATAGGGGTCTTTGAGTTGGGGTCCATGGTTTATATTAGGGATCAGGTTCATGGTTAATATTAGAGATCAGGGTTCGGGGTTAATATTAGGTAGTGGAGTCTGGGATAGGATGTCTAGGGCGAATATTAGGTAATTTTAGGGTTTGGGACAAGTAGTTGATGTGAATTTCTTACACTTTCTAAAAATGGTTAACTTTAGGGATCAGGGTTGATGGTTAATTTTAGATACTAGGGTCAGGGACAGGATGTCTAGAGTGAATAAAGGTAATTTTAGGGTTTGGGATGGTTATTTTTTGTGCATCTTCTACACTTTCTGAAATTATGACAAAGGATTCCGCCTCATCTTGTCAATAACTGACACAAGGAGGGTACCCGACATGTCATAACCGAACACAGAGGGAACCTGACCAAGCGTCAATATGTGACGACTTGGGAGTGAGAATTGTGTTGGTGACACACTTATAAACAAAATGTGTGACAGCTTCAACTGTCAGCTGTTAACATTAAGGTTGGTCAATAACATTTAATGACCTCAGTTAGTGCTTCTACTTTAGCCTATAGACTTAGCAAGTGCTAATCCACTAATAAATTTTAAAATTAGCAAAAGCCCTAAAGCACTAATCAGGAAATTAGTTCCGCTATTAGTGCTTTAGTGCTTTAGGGGAACTGCATCCACCACTGTCAGTTTGTTTGTTTCTCACCTTCATTGCCTTTGGTGTAATTGAGTCCATGCGCGTGGATGCTGTAAGGCCTGGTTGCTGTGTTCTTCAGGTGGATGATCACAGTGTCTCCCTCCTCTGCCATCACCAAGGGTCCCAGGTAGCCCAGCCAATCTGGTTTTGTCACCTCTGTCCTGTAGGTGGCGTCGCTGAACTGTTTATACACCGCCTTCTTGTAGATGGGGCCAATCCGCTGGGGGCCTTTTTTTAAAAAGACTGAAGCTTCTCTACAAAAACATTCAAGAAAAAAAAGTTGTGTGTGTATTTACATTAAAAAACTGTTTCTTTTTGCATGAAGTTCTGTTCGGATTGCTTTGGTTTTAGTTTATTTGTTTTGGAGTAATCAGCTATAAGTTTCTCTCTTCTACTGAATAAAATAAAACTAAAAAAACATTTAGCACAATGCTTAAGTTCCTCAAAAGAGCAGCTAGGTTATGTTAATGATGTATTTTAATAACACCAGAAAAGTCTTTACTTATATTGTTGATCAAAAGTCGAGTTTGCGTTATTGTGTTGCGTAGCTTCAGACTTGATTATAAATCTTCCATTTAAAATTATTCCAATGCATTGGTGCACATGTATAAATTGAAGACCTATTTACAAACGTGACAGCATTAAGATCATGTGTACATACTCATCCTCCTGCAGTGAACGATTGTGAATGACGTTCTTTCCAGTCGGTGCATAGTTCCAAGATATCTCCTCTATCTTGAGGAAATACTCTCGTCTCATCCCAGCAACAGATATGACTGCACAACTCAAGAGCAGCACAACTCCTAACTCCAGCCTGCACATTTTTGACAATGTAATTCTTCTTATAATCTAGGAGAAAATGGACAAAAATATTAGTTTTTCTTTCTCCGTTTATTGCTCGAGACACAGACCAATGACAGCCTTTGGTCAGTCCGTCAGAACTTTGAGACTTAACTGGGTCTTTATACTGCCGCAACAGGCAGACTGCTGGGATTGGCCAAAGGTGGAGGTCACTGACCATCAGTAATCAGTTCAGCAAACTAAAAAGAAGTACAACAGCCAGATGTTTGATCAGCAGGGTGCTCTTACACAAGATCAAATAATTCAGCATGGAAAGATTGACTGGACAGCAGTCTCTTTTTTTTTTTTTTACCAGAAATGATTTTAAATGTGGCCTGTTTGATGTATTGTATCACTGAACTTGAGCAGTTACATTGATCTTGTGTAGCTTTTTGTCAAAAGAGGAACTAAGTAAGTGAAAAGGAAGAGCTGGAAGGTTTAATGAAGAAAAGCTTTGCTAACACTTCTTCTATATGTGCAAATCTACAGCCATAACAAACCCGTCATGTTTATTCAGAGATGAACTGACCTTTGATTCAGTCGGTAGTGTTATACTGACGTTCCCTGATAAAAGCTAGAACACTTCTCACTTAAAGGCTTTAGCTGTTTTATTTTATCCTTAATAAATTGCAAATATGACATTCTTACACCAAGTTAAAGTAGGACTTCATTTGCTTTCATCGTTATAAATAAAAGTTACTCAATTTGGGGTTCAAATTATCAATAAGAAGCAACTTTGGGAAGTCCAGCACACAAACCAGGATTTCATTACACACGTTCTTGGACAAACACAGCTCAAACAATTACGCAAACCAGCATTTGGACCCCAACTCGCCTCTTTTTTTTCTCTCTTGATCTGCTTTCAGAAACATCGACTAAAAGGTATTTGGTGGCCAACCAGTTTAGTCTTGGAAGAATAACACCTCAATCCTCAAACTAATAAATAAATAAAGTATTTTGTTTTTGTTTGTTTTTTTTTTACATAAAACTGTTATACGTATCATTTGAAGGTGCTTCAAAATAAAATACTTTGAGACACAAAAAAGACAAACATCCCTATAATAAAGATGAAAAACTGAAAGACAGACAGACATTTACTGTCAAGATGTAAACAAAGAAACCCTAAAAAATGTAAAAAATTAAACTAGAAGCCCTAAATTGACTTAAACTAAGTAAATGTAAAAGCATGATATATATCCATTCTGAAAGACTAACATATTGACCTACATAATAACGAAAAAAAAAACTTTTATCTCATCAAATGTACAGTAAGTCAATATTGCTTCATTCTCAGTGAATGTGTAATTTCTGTGCAAGGGTCAAACCTCGGTGAAGCTGTTTTTCACTTACAGAAAATCCAATGAATTCAAGATTATCTGGTTCAGAACATTCTATATTAGACATCCTTCGGATTGAGGAGAGAATAATTTAATGATCAAACATTCATCCATCCATTATCTATACTCACGTCTTCCTTTCAGGGTCACGGGGGTCACTGGTGCCCATATCCAGCAGAGGGGCGAGGGACACCCTGGACATGTCACAAGTCCATCACAGGGACACACGTAGACAAACGAGACAACAATTCACTCTCTCACTCACACGTAGGGATAATTTAGAGTTACCATTTAACCTAACAGTCATGTTTTTGGTGTGATCAAACACTGGGTTTATAAATTTTTTTAAATGTTTTTTTGCTTCTGGTCTCGGTGAAGGTGGACATTTCCCCCTCTCTTTTCAGCCTTCCCTCATCTACCCTACTTTGCCGCATTTTGGAGCCTCCTTTACATATCATCTAGCACTGGCCATTACCTTCCTACAAATTTTCCCTTCTGACCTGTCTCAGATTTATCTCATAGACAAGGATTTCTCCGGTAGAATTTCAACCGGGCCAATCAGCGAACAGGAGGCGGAGTTGTGAACAAAGACTTCGATTTTCTGCGCTGTTTTAGTCTGACTGTAGTTTAGCAATGGCAACGGAGGACTCATTTACAGGCATCTCATCCGCCTCAGTACTTCTCTCTTCCCAGCAGTGGATGGTTGTTTAGAGCACATGCAATTTCTGGTTAGCTTCTTAGCATAGCTTCCTTCACAGGCGAGCTGGCGCACTACATACATCACAGCCAAACATTAGCGACTGGGTAAATCAGATCCAATCATTGTAAACTTCAACAGAGTCCATGCCTCCTTTTCAATAGTTGAGAGTCCAGACCCAATGTACGAAGCAAAGCGTAGAACAAGGGGCTGGTTTTTACCAGGCTACATATCATCCAAAACTAGAAAATATCTGGTCAGCTCATCTCTCAACGCTATTGATCAATTTTTTTCTGGATGGAAACTGGGCAAAGGAGAGGCCTCCTGTCCGTACAGAGCATATGCAGCAGGGCACGTTATGGATTCCCTGGGGGATTGGAAGATAATGTGCCTTTGTTCATCGTTGATTGAGGACATCAAAGATGTTTATTATTGGAATAATGACAGCAGGATTTCTACTGATTGGCGATGGTGGATATCTGAGCTATCGTGAAATACAGAAAGTGTCGGCAGCCTTCCGGGCCCTGTGGAGACGGCGTGCCTTGTGTGATGGTTTATACCGGTCTATCAACGCTCAGACTCAAACGCTGGCAGAGCTGATCCGCAAGCTGGATGCAATCCTCGCTGAGGGTCGCAGGCCAGCTGTGGTTCCTGAGCTGTATAGATCCTGGAGAAGTTGTGCTCGATGAGGCGAGGAATGACCAACAAATTTGGCTGATTGGAACTTTCGCCATTGAGTTTCTGGTGAGACATAAGGCATACAAGCAAATCTTCTGTCAGCCTGTTTTCTAAACAACTGTGATTATCTGATTTGCCCCCCTACTCAAACTGGATGTTATGTCAACTCATGCTCTGCCCACCCTATCCCTCCTCCCACTCCCGTCTGTGAACTGGTGTCTGGAAGCAAGCCGAAGGCCGGGCAGATGGACAATAACATCACAATTCTGAGACTCTGGCTGGTCGGGGCTGTTTGAGGACTAGTTACATGGTTTCATTTAGTGATGGGATAAATGGCTCTTTGAAGGGATCCGGATCTTGGGGATGTGTTTGTTTCATAGAGCCGTTCAAAAGAGCCATTCGATTTCCAATGAGTTACGTTATCATGTAGGGAAATACGTCATCACGTACGGCGATGTGATGATGTCATCACGTTAAGTGGGCGGAATCATGTGTTTGTCAAGCAGAAAGTCCCCTCCCCCTTTCCTGTAAACTTCTGTACTCCACCAGTCTGTCTGTTTTCCGTGAAAAAGCAAAGGGGAGCGATTTAAGGATGAAAAAATAAGATTATGAGGAATAAATATAAATAAAACTACAAATGGCTCGTTACTGCCCGCGACTCGGCTCCTATCGTTCGTTGTAAAGAGCCGTTCAAAAGATTCGGATCGTTCGTGAATGTCACATCACTATCATTTTACACATGTTCATGCATGTGCATACAACACTTAACAGTGTCCTGATGCATCTCAGTAATCGATATTCGATATAGTAATCGATCGAATGATAGAGAGGAACGTTGGTTTGAGAGAGGAGTAAAAGAAGCCATTTTTGTGAAGAAAGACCGTCCATCATTAAACAGAGGTGGAGGCCTCCGCTTTCAGTAGTCCCCCTCCTACAGCACGGCTATTGCCAGTATCACTCCACCCCCTGTTAACAATAAGTGTTAATTAGGTGTCAACGATAGCCATGTGATGTGAGTATCAGTCACATGGAGGCAGGGCTTAAAAGCCTGAATTTTGCCTGAAACTCTCAGACTGAAGAAGTCTCTTGGAGGAGAGACGAAACGTTTCATTAGAGAAGAACCCGTCCAGAAGACCTATACAATTTTTTTTCTTTTTGAACACTTCACAGCTTCAGATACACGCCCCTAAACTCACTGCCTTCGCTGGCACTCTCTCGCTGTTTCTCTACCACCACCCCTCACCCCCCACCTTGATCTTTGCTCTGTGCAGGTTTTATCTCTTTCATTTTTTAAATCTCTAAATATTGTGTCCTGAGTGGACATAGCATGATGTTCTTTGTTTCAACCTCACTTATCCTCATGGGCTATTTCTTTTTTCTTTTAAGGGTCTTTACGGCTGTTGGACCCGGGGCACCTGTTCTCCAAGTCTGTTGTGTTTTGCCTATATCTCTTGAACGGGTTGTTCCGAACTGTAATTTCCTTTCATGGGATCAATAAAGTATCATTCATTCATTCAAATACTTTTTATTCAATGCAGCACAAATAAACCAAACATTATAAAAAAAATCACTAAAAAAATACATAATTATTGTGTCTAATAATACTGAACCTGCATCAAAAAGACACCAAAATTTACAACATGTCTTTGAAGTTGAAACAACTGTACTTACAAGCACTAAAAACACTTCAGTGTACATTCAGAAAGTTAAACTCTGGGAAGAACGTCTCTAAACCCAAAGTAATTCTCATGGGAAAAACTTGATCAAACTGCTAAACAACAACAGGCCACTATTGTTAGGCCCACACAGAGCAGCCGATTAAACAATATGAAAAACAGTCATGTGAGAAGGCCACAAAAAAACCACACAACACTTACAAATCAATTAAAGTATAATAAATGCTTTGTTCTTTTCTAGGACGACAAGATGTGTTGACTTAATGTGGTTATGTGTGCAGGTTATCAAATGTTCAGTTTGTGTGTGTGTGTGTGTGTGTTTTTACATTTTTATATACACAGTATGCACACTGTCCGTGCATCTCTAAGCATTAAGGCTATACTCCTGCTTGTAGCAGCAGGGCCGGCAGATGGCGTTAACTAAACCGTTCCCCAGCTGTAACAGGCAGATGATGAACTCCAGCACAGCCAGGCCCAACGACACACACAGAAGAGTGACGTTCCACTCCACAATATTCAGTGGCTGAAGGCACTGTGACCAGATTTCTGGCCGCAACAGATACCTGTGACAAACAAACAAACAAACAAACAAAAAAGACAGGGATCACTAGAGAATAAACCACAAAGAAGAAACATTTCTGCTCATATTAATAAGTTTATATAAAAGAACCACAGGCCCAGCTGTTGTAAAATATTTAAGTGATAAAGAAGGACCAAACTATTTTTAAACACATTTCATAAACAACAATTGCTGAAAGAACAGAAAGCAAATGTTTGGTTATAAATACATGTTCACATTTGCAACAACTTTTGTTACATTCTTTGAATTCTTGGCCTGATTCCCAAATGAGATTTAATATATATATTAAAATATTGACCACTACCAAACGGTTGAGACGTCAATTAATGGTTAAAGTACAAAATTGCAAACAAATGGCACAAATATTAGAAAAAGTAACAAAAGCATGCTCTTTTGCAAATAAAAAGAGAAAAAAAAAATGAAGCAAACACACACTTCAGCACCATCCTGTGGGAAGGTGCAACATTGCCATTTTAAAGTTTTTTTTTTGTGCACTAAAGCTTAGAATTTATCTAATCATTAGATCCCAATGAAAACAAAAACAAAAGCAGTCTAAAGCAATGAATTAACTTCCTGAATAAGTCTCAGGGGACACAATTTGTTGGTGCTTTATGTCAATACATTATTATTTGACGGTAGCTCAACAGGAAATGGGAGATACAAAGGAACGGGAAGAGCAAAAGCCCGGAGCCAGGACTTAAATCTGGGTAAGAATGTAAACCTAGACCCTCCAAACTATGCCACAATCAAACTGAGGAGCGTTTTTAAACATAAAACACACCGGAGAACACTGGAGTCATTTTTCATTATATTTAACTTACAATTATCTGTTCATTAATTAACAATTCTTCATAAACAAAAATGGATTAAAGATGCAGTAACACAGAAAGGAGGAACATTTTCAGGCAGGTTTGTTCCTTTTTAGTGATGAAGTGAAGTCTTCTTACCTGCCATTCTGATCAGCAAAGGGATACGACCACCCTAATGAGGTGAAACAGTGGGGGCCTTGCATTAAGGTAAGCCCAGAAATAACAAAGCAGTAACCGGACCCCACGAGGCCGATGATGGCTGCCAGCGCTGACCCGCACATCTGTAAAAGAGGACCGACAAACAAAGAGACGTTTAGGAATAAAACCAAAAAATTAAACCAGTGGCTTGTACAAAGTATGTCAAAATGATACTTGAGCAAAAGTACAAGTATCTTACCATAAAATTACTTTGGTAAAAGTTAAAGTCTCCTCTAATAATATTACTTACAGTACATAAACATCTTAAATTAACAGATGTTTTTTGTACTTAAGTATCAAAAGTAAATTTCGGACATACAATAACAGAAATTTACATACTATATACAGTATATACATATATACAGTATATATATATATATATATATATA